CCATATCGCGACAGCAAGCTTACGAGACTTCTTCAAGGTGCGCTTTCGGGAGGTTCGCTTGTCAGCATTCTGTGCACAATATCTGTTGGATCTGGAGCAAGTGCTGCCGGACCCAACAGCCATACTAGCGAGACTTTGAACACCTTAAAGTTTGCTTCCAGAGCTGCAGCAAATATTGTCAGTCATGCCAAAAAGGCGGAGGATGCGTCGAATGGAGGTGGTGATGGTCAGACTAGGGCTTTATTAGAACGATACCGTATGGAAATCGTGGATCTAAAGAAGCAGTTGGATGGCCAGACCAAAGCCAAATTCAACGAGGAGGATCAAGCCCAAAAGGAAGAAGCAAAAGCTCGTCATAACGAGCAATTGATAGAGATGCAGTTGGCTCGAACTGCTCTCAAAGAGAGAATCGATCATCTAAATAGACTGATCCTCAGCTCCAAGTCCACAGGTGTCAATACCAATGGTACCTATTCAGCTTTAAGTATGCGACCTAGGCTATCGATGGGAGCGTCAAGTGGTCATATGTCTTCATTATCAGCGCGCTCATCTATGACACCATCCACCATCACATTAGATCGCGCCAATTCGGTCTCTACCATTGGCCGACGGCCCAGTGCGCAACGATTATCCGGTACCATTTCGGGCGATCATACATCAATGGAGGATGAAGACTCTGGGGGCGAGTATGGAAATGGCAATGCTTCATTGGCAGCGCAGAACCGAGCCTTACAAGCCGACCTTGCAGATAAGACCCGATATTGTCAGACCTTAGAAAAGCGACTCCTACAAGCTCGGCGCTCTAGTCAGTCAAGGACGTCTGTGCAATTCGGTAGCAAGTCAAATATAATGGTGGGAGAAGACCATGGGATCTCCAACCTATTGAGAGACAAGGATGCTGAAATTGCGGACTTACGAGCGAGACTCGACGATAAGGATCGCATGTTATCAGCCCTTCGCAGTTCTGCTCGGTCTCGAGACACTGCCGAACGTGATCCTCGCCATAGTCTAGGCCAAGGAATGCCACTGAGTCCCGTCTCAGCTAGGGAATCTCAGTTGTTCGACACTGGTCTGATAAGTGCCGGAGGCGCGGGGAAGGTTCTCCCACCCACCGTCCTTCTCCCAACGCCCCTCAAAAATTCAAAGAGTGTAGATGAGATGAGCAAAATGCTTGATGAGATGATACAAGATCGACTTGAAAATGGACAATCAAACAAAGAGGCTAGAGGAAGTATGCGTGCAGGCGAGCGCAAACGAGCGGTGTCGACGGATCCAATTCCTGGAATTGAACCTCTCAAGAGTCCACATCTGAGTTCCAAGGCTCAGCTGCATGATTCTGGTGTTGTAGTAACTGATTTTTTCAAAAAGAGTGAGGGGGAAAATCTGTAATCAATATGGGTATGGTTTATGGCGTTACTGGGAGGTTTATTTGTTGTCTATACCCACGTTTACTTAGCTTTCATTTTATTTCCCGGGACTTTTTGCTTATCACAGCATGCTCCTTTTTTATGTGGCAATTAGTGATGGGGTACTTGAGCGGGCTGGCATTTTTGGGAATCATTTCGTTGGGTTGGTGGGACGGATAGTGGCATTTATCTGTCTTAATGTAATAATATGACCAGGGTAGACTTGGGGCCTGGCTGGATGGGCGAACTCAGGAAAAATCATACTTCTGGATCGCTACGGAGGACTTTCTTTTACTACTTTGTTTCGTTTACTTTTGTGCCGGGACTAAATGCACATTTGGGAAATAATCAAATCTTGAAGATGGATATGTGGATTGATACCAGGAAGGATACAAACTGATACAAATACAGCATGTCGATACAGCGATGATGGGAATTGTTACGTAGAAAGAATTGAGATGAGATGTTAGTTATGGGTGAGATTGTTGAGTTTAGCGTGCGGTTGCCAGAGCAGAAAGATATCAAGTTAGAGTTAGATGAATCGCGATTTGATGAATTGATAGAGTCGAAATATTATTTGACATATCAGAATTTTAGATGACCGTTTGAATTTAAATGCGAGCATAGGCAAGTGAAACGTGATTACATGTACCCCGGCACAGCACAGAGTGACTATCATCTCCTGACAAAAGGAACATTACGAAGAGAAAACATTTTCCAAGAAATGTCAATCCCTTTCGCATATCAATTGCGACGATTGTTGGATGAATAATCGCGCGAATCTATTTTCAGATTATTCCATATCCAGCATGTCTTGTTGGTAGTGTTCCCGGAATGGGAGAATCGGATGATCAAGGAAGAGCAATGAAATCCTCCAACAGCTGCAGAAGGATGTCGATGATCCTTCCTGTGACATTTCTTCAAGGCTTCCGTCGTTCAAACTCTGTCGAGTGAGAAATGGAAGGAAGGTTGGTTGGATAAGAATTGTAAGACAACGGGAAATCCGCCACTTGTTATAACCAAGGATGGCACAAATATGCTTACCTACCTACCTCAGCTACCTAGGTAGGTACTCATGCTTTACGCACAAGTGCTTATGCATGAGACGTACAAAGCCGATTTTTCGACCACACGGTACATTTCCTGGGAATTGCCGAGAAGTAGTACGGGGTACGGGGAATATATGTTAAACACGATTTACGATATATGAGTGGATGTAGATGGTGGCGTTTTCTGCTGTGAGTGCTGTGCGAGAATGTGCTCAACTCGAGACGGGCGACTGGAAATCTGTCTAGCAGACCAAGGAGGAGGTGGCATCATAATACTTACTTGATATCGTAGAGGGGAAAATGTTTCAACGATTGTTTTCTCCGCGATAAAACCTTAATTCACGGACGTGAATCTCCTCGTCCTTATCAAGAAAGCTTAAGAGAAAAGACAATTCGTAAAATCACATGCAGATTGGATGTTGTAGAATTTTGCTTTTGCTTGGTACTGAGGCCGATAACGTGTATTTGAACAATACTCTAAAAATAGATTTTCGCTTAATAAAAAAAGAAATTTTAGAATCTATATAATGTATTTATAGAGATCTTATTTTATGTAATAGAATTCAATTTTATTGAAGATTTTTATATAAAAAATTATATTATTAAATAGCCCTTAGGGTTAGCTTTATTTATTTGATTTTAGAATTCATTTCGAAATTATTTATAGGAAATATATTAATATTTAAAATCTTTTTTTAAATAATTTTTCTTATAATGTATGGATTATTCTAGAATAAGTAAAAAAGTTTAGTAAAAATTCTTATTTAAAGTTTGAGTATAAGTTTATTTCGCTTAAATAATATAACTAATATAGCTTTAATTAGATTTTATAATATTAAAAAAAAAAGTTGAATTTAGTATACAATTCTAAAGAGATTTATAAAATAAAAAAGAAAGTAGTATAATTATTAATTAGAGTTCAAGAAATCGATTAATATAATTACTTTTGAATTATTTCAAAAATTAAATTTTGTATTTAATTCTAATTATTTTTATTATATTTAAGTTCAAATCAGAAATCTATTTTATATTAATATTTTAATTATTAGGATAGATAACCAATCAAGCCTTGAATAATATTATTAATATTAAGCAGAATTCTTTAATCCAATACACAACCTCAAAGGAATTAATGAAATAAAAAGAAAGAAATATAATTATTAATTAAAATTTAAGGAATCAATTAATATAATTACTTTTGAAATATCTCAAAAATTGAAATTTATATTCAATATAAAAATATTTTAATAAATTTGAAAAAGATTAAATTTTGATATTTAATTTCTAATTCTTTGAATATTATTAAATTGAATATAAATTTCTATTTTTAAAATATTCCAAAAGTAATTATATTAATCGATTCTTTGAATTTTAATTAATAATTATATTTCTTTTCTTTTTATTTTATTAATTTCTTCAAGACTATATACTAAATTAAAAAATCTTATTCTTAAATACACACCACTAAATTCTAAATATTGTTTTAGTTTAAGCGAAAATCTATTTTTAGAATATTATTCAAATGCGCGTTATTGGCCTCAGTATTGGGCTTATTTGATCTTAATGTTCTGGTGCGTGATTGGTTGTAACGAGCAGTTGGACATTTTCATTAGCACGTTTCGGATGTTCAGGGGTCAACGCAATGCACTTTATCGAGTTCGCGGTTGAACAAGAGCGAGACGTGAGGGAAGCCAAAAATCCTATTTAGGCGAGTTAGAACCCCCCTTCGTGATGGGTGGAGAATTTAAGGAAGAGGAAGGAACGAGAAGAGTAACAAAGGTTAAGAGATATGACATTTATGCTATGTGCAATATGCATGTCCGGTTCCACCAGCTAGCTAATCAAGTGAAATCGACGTGAGGTCGGGTATTCTCATGTTAGTGATAGGCATGAAAACAAGGTTTTAAGGTTGGATAATATCAATGCTTATGGTTACAAGATCCTGTCTACAGCCTACCGGTGGCGGTATTTCCCTCAAGCTCCGTACTGTTATTGAACTGCGGAGTAGCTAATCAGCTTGTTGGTTTCCAGGGTTCAACGAGGTGTATGCGTTGCTTTGCTTCCTCTTGGTATTCTTTTGTTGTAAGGGGAAAATCATCCAAAGCCCTTTTGAATTCTTGGTGTAAGGGAAACATCTGATATTTAGCTAAGGATGATCGCTATCTGGAAAGAAGAAAAGCCAGAAAAGCTTTCGAGTTTAGATTCTACAACTTCATCTCTTCGTTCTTTCCTTTTAACATTATCTTTCCCGCTTACCTGTAACATGTACATGGTGTGCTTAGATCCCTTTTTTGGCCCCACGTTCCATTCCATAAGATTTGACCCCTAGTTTCCTCCGTCAGCCCCACGCGAGAATCTAGCTTCAACCAATAATCGTTCATATATGCACAGAAATTGATGACCACATACAAGGGCCTTACCATGCAAAAATATCACATCTCTGTCTCAAGTTGATCTCCTTCTTTTCCGGTATCACTGTATCAGATCTTTTCTCGGGTCATGGATATCATCCTGGTTTTCTTTCTTCATCTTAATCACATCTATCCTTCGCCTCAATCTCATCTTCTGTTCATCCAGTGAATGGTCTTGGATTTTCTTTCTCCTGTCTTAAAAGTAAAATGTGGCATGTAGATCATGCATTTTGACTTTGGTACATCACCTCATTGATTCACCAAAGGGTACGAAAGATTCCACCTTAGACGTCACCGGTGTCCACCTCTTGGGTCATCTCCAACTCTATGCGCTTCTACATATTCCGGCAATATTCTTCGTTTCGTCTTTACGCGCTTCCGCATCTACTCCGCATTTTACTGTTGCCAAGAAACAACATCCGTACACTTCAGAAGTACTACATCTTTTGACATATCTCAAATATATTAAAATCTTCCGATTCTGGAAAGCAAACCTTCTTGTTTCGGTTCATATCCGTTGAAGGGTTTACCTCTAAAGAGCCTTCACTTCCTCACCTGTCTCCCTATTAGTCACTTCATTCACTTACCTCGGAAGTTGTAAATTTCTACATGTCACCTACTCAATATTTACTTTTCAAGTGCAGGCACATCTGAGAGCTTCTCTAACAGCACTACAACGCTCCTTTTCTAAGCAACTTTCGCAACTGCATTCATTTTCGTTTCTCTTCCTGGCTGTGCCAGTCATTCTACCTCATGGTTCCCCCTCCTCTTGACGTGAAAAAGTCATACACGCACTCAGATATGCTTCTCTCATCACGAACTTCTCCTCGGCTCAGTTTGCGTAAATCTGGAGGTTATGATCCAAATGACCGAGGACCATCGTCATCTACTTCTTCCAGATTTAGCTTCAACCATTTGATCAAATCGCCTCCGCCTTCCCCAAGTCTTCCGGCTTTAGTTCCAAGGCACGGCAAGCCAGCGCCATCACGGACTCCCCGAAAGTGGTTCAGAGGGTTTCTATGGGTATCTGGCATATTGGGGTTACTTTACTTTGGTTTCACCTCGACATGGCTAGAAAGGCCCATGACGGCAGTAGGGTGGGCAACAGATTCTGGTAATCAGTATGAGATGGTTGGAGAATCAGAATTGCCGGACTTTCCAACACCAGTTATCGTAACAGACAAACGCGGACGATCGAAATGGACGGTTTCCATACCTCCCAATCACGAATTTCCTCTCGCTCCCCTACAATATGCCGATATATGTGCGCAAAATATGGAAGTCGCTGCCACTGTTGCAGATCTTCATAGCCACGTGCACCGAGAGCACTTTGCACATTATGATTACTACCACGTGGACCCAAATTTCATGGACGTTGCTGAGGCAGAGGCACATGGACTTTTGCCCGGAATTAAGGCGAAGAACAATGTATTGAGGGAAAAAGATGGTTCATTGGTGGGCGAAAATAAGGACGGCTTAATTGATTCAGATATCTGTGACAAGACTCTAACTTTTGTGCTCGAAACATCAGATGCGGGACTCGGAAAGGGCTTGATGATGCTGTGGACTGCGTTCGGTTTGGCTCAAAAGGAGGGAAGGCATTTCTTCGTAGATGACTCAAGATGGTAAGCTTTGAGAAACAAAGCCTCATTTCTTTCCTCGTTACTGACAGCAACAAGGGCATACGGCAAATATACAACATTCTTCAAGCCACCTCCGACCCCCATATGCAGACCCCCACCGCGCCACGAAATGCTCCCATGCCCGCATCATGCTCGCCATCTAGTAGTCTCGGCTGCGACCGCAACTCACATCTTGGGAGGATCTTTCAACGAATATTTTGAAGACGCGAAAAAGATGGAAGTCCACCGACAAAAGCCTATCTTTGAAATGGCTCGACTTGGGTACGAAGCCCTTTTCCACCTATCCGACGATGACAGTAAATACGTGGACAGCAGAGCCGGAGAATTCTCGGCGAAGTCCACACTAGATCCATCAAATCAGGAAAGTGGGATGATCATTGGTATACATGTTCGTCATGGGGACAGGAGACCATATGAATTCCAGTACAAAGACAGCTATATTCCATTAACAGTGTATAGCGACAAAGCACACATGTTGATAAACGAGAAGTTCAATCACTCACTTCCGAATGGGGAGCACGACACCCTGGCTAAAATGGCTAGTGCATTGGTCATTGCCTCTGATGATCCAGATGTCTATGATTCCGAAGAATTCAAAGAAGTCAGCAGAGCGCAGGAGCAGATTCGACTAGCATCCAAGAATGCTCTTGATGCAGCCGCGCCTCAACCTAACACTCCAGGGCCAAGAAAATTCGTAGATGATACAGTAGGATGGGAAGGAGGATTCTATGCTGGCATGTTCTGGAGTTTAGGCAAACCTTCGGGAACTCCGAAAACTGCTGTCGAAATCCCGGATACAACATTACCTCCTACAACAGAAGCTTTACGATTGAGAGAATTGGTCGGAAGAGCTTATTTGATGGATTTGGCGGTGTTGGGAAAAGCAAGTGACAAGATTGTCTGTACAGTCAGTGCCACGGGCTGCAGGCTTCTTGCCGTGATGATGGGATGGGAGAAGGCGATTGATCAAGGGGGATTCGTCAATGTGGATGGAAACTTCAATTGGAGAGGTGTGGAATGGTGAAAAAGTAGAGCACTTGTCTCCTCTTTCACGCATGCAATTAAACTATTCTTTTGTTCATATTAATACCTCTGGGGAGCGGGATTTTTTGGCGTAAAAGCATTGCCCCGGTGTCGGAAATGGAGTTTTGGGCTTTATGGGACAACCACAATCTTGATTGAGATTAAAGGACAATAGGAAGCATGCATTGCACGGTGTAGGATTACGTGATGCATGATACCAGGTTATCGGTTTAGCCATTTTTTTATAGAAAATTACTTGAATAGTACCTATATTCTTTCTCAATTTGAACTTGTCCTATATGCCCTAGTGATGGCTGCTAAATAGTTTACAAATCGAAGGAGCCAATGATGCTTTCTCTGATCGTTCCTTCCTTCCATGGCTTCGGCATATTCGTCGTTTGTAGCTTCTACGACGCAAAGTTGCGCCATCGAGAAGACTGACACCGGATGAGAAGCAAGGCACGACAATATACATACCTATGTATATCAGCTGTGTATATGCGCTGCCTTCACGGAACTTCCAGATTGTCCGGTCTGGACTGGAACATCCAGAGCATTTGATTGTTGAACTCGAATTGGAACTTGGGAGATATCATAAGACCTGACTTGCAGTCTGGATTATCGGATGACTTGGGACTGCTTTTGGGGCGTGGGATTGGAGTGCGCGTTGTATAGGTATGTTGTTTGAAGGCTCTGGTGTCTGGGAGTGGGAGGGCAGACGTGGAGAGGAAATGAAATCCCTTGGTATTCTTCACGTTCTTTTAGAGCATTGTGGTTATTTCGATTGATATAATCGTTTCAATTGATATCATTATTCTAATTCTAATTTATATCAATATCCAGACTCATTTTGATTAGTACAGTTAACATCTAGCTTACGCCACACCCAAACTTTTCCGTCAAAACCTCGGCACGATGATTTTAACGCTAGGTACCTACCTAGGCTCTGAAACTTACAATCCAGCATATAACCATTTGATGTGGCCTAGTAAAGAGAACCTACGCTATCCACAAACTTTCCATCAAAACTTCGGCAAGATGATTTTCTCACAAGCTCTAAAACATTGTAGGTTGTTCTTTCTCGCTCAGTATCACTTCCGGTGAGGAAGTAAAGATCGACTCCGTCATCGTCTCCTCAACATGTTGCATGTTTTCATATGCTTCCGCTGTTCATCATCTCATCCATCATTCTTCATTCTTCGCCCGTTAAGGTAGCATTTCTTACCACCAAAAACGTTCAAAATCGAGCTTTTATTGACAGTTTTATTCATTGAGATTGCAAAATTACCATGGGCCGGCCAAGCAGCAAAAAGGGGCTCTCGACTAGCCACCACGTCCGAAGTATGTCGATGGAAAGCTTCTTGAAATCTTGTCCGCCTACTCCTGCTCACGCTCCCTTGGTTCGATCGCCCGTCAGAATACTCGGGAGTGGGTTATCAGCTTTGACACTCGCACGCAGTCTTTACAAAAAGAAAATTCCCTTCAAGATCTTCACAAAAGATAGTCGACCTGAAGAGAACTCCAATCGACATGATTATAGTATTTTGTTGCCAGTGTGGATTGTCAAAGAGCTAAGGAAACTGCTGAACATTGACGAAAAAAGATTTCGAGATCGCCTTTTAGTGCCTAGCACCAGACCCTTTCCTCAGAGAACGACCAATACCAAAGTGAGAGTTCACCGCGGTATGCTAGAACGTCTTTTGAGGTCACGATTCAAGGATGAGATTGAATGGAATTGTGAGATTAAGGTTGGATCAAGCGGGTCGCCTCGTTTAATTTTTCCCCCGCATGTCGATGCATTGGAAGGGAATATCACGTTCGACTGCATGGGCGTTCATTCTCCGCTCCAGTGTCCAGGTAGCTATAGTCAAATCAGTCCCATTGTAGTATTCCGAGGCACTGTCATCTTGTCAAAGACTTTGTGGGATCATAAGTTTCGAGATTGGTTTCCTGGCAATACAGCGCAGATCCAGAAGAAATTCGACAGAACCAATTTGGATCTCATAATCAACCACACCGATGCGCAAAGCGGCGAAGTGAGCTTAACTTACATCTATTCACGGCCTCGCTTAGATAGTTTAGTAGACACCGAAGACGAGCTCTGGAAACCGACGCGACCAACTTACGAAGCAGCATCCCCTGTCTTGATCGAAAAGTTTCTCAACGAAATCAAAACCTTCCGACTAAAGAATGATCTACCTGGTCCTTATAACGAGATTTTCAATCCCGAAACGATGAAAGAAAACAGAATCTTACATTGGCTGTTGAGAACTTACCAGGTGGATCAACCAGAACTAATCAAATTGTGGACCGGCGATGAAAAGATAATGAAATTAGGCGATGCTATAATAACCATGCCCATAGTCGAGACCACTGGTGCTGAGCTTGCTATCTCCGATGGTTTGAATGCGGCTGACCAGATTGAGAGATATGGGGGAGCGAGGTTGCACTGCTGGTTTATTGAAAGCTGGGAATGGAAGCTTACTGCATTTCGGGAAAGTAACCGCCGTATACTTGCAAGGTATCGATGAAGCATATAGTTGCACGTGAGGTTAAAACCCCTAGGTAATAGGCAATAATAGGTTTCAGGTGAGGGGCAGAGATTATTACTTATTCTATGGCATCCCTTTCCGCAATTTTTCAGCCTCAGGGGTAGCGATAATTGATCACAAAGCATAATTTGATCACAATGAGCGTCATCAAGGGAAACTTTTCGATAGATCAAAAATTCATTATATTGCATTGCGTAACTTCCTCAAGCCATGGATGAAACACTGTCGATCTCCCAGCCCTCATCATATAAACACATTCATTCTTCATTACGATTCAGAACATCTACACTCTCCATTTCCATATCTCATCGTCAACACATTTCCGTTTAAATGAAGTCACCAAATCCCATCATCTGGCCGGTCCTATACCTCTACATAGCCCATTCTACAAACGCAAAATCCCATTTCACATCCCATTCTACAGAAGTCCACGCGCTGCATCATAACAAAGCTTTACACCCTAATAAGAGAGACTTTCTCTCCTGTGAGCAAACATATGGAGAAGGTTCGGTTCCGTGTGGCGGCAGCGATAGCAAATATTGCTATGATCCCACGATTGGGGAGGTGAGCTGTCTTTTCTTTCCGTGTACATACTGTGCTAGAAGATGATTTTGGTGTCCCTTGAAAAATTCCTTCACGCACTTGTCATTCACCACCTTCCAGCAGTCCTTTAATACTCCATAAGAATCTGGACTCTGAAGACTTCTAAAGAGTAGTGATCTTTCTAGAGCACCCTTTCAATTGTTCATAATAGTTTCGAACTTTGAAATTCAGATTGGGAAGGTGCTTGGACTTCAACTCCGAAGAAAGACAACGAGATGCGAGCATGTGAAAGTCTATACTAATAAACTTTATGACATGAACAGTCGTGTTGCATGCAAGATTATGGATACTGTGGTATAGGAGATGTATGCGCGTCGATTGAGGGTTATTGCTGTCACAAGGTATGACATTTACCAAATCTCCAACACCCCCCAAAGCTCAATGCTAACACCATACTCCACGCCAGGACGAAAACGAACAAGTCTGTATGCTCCGTCTCGGCATCAGCTCCCCCGATGGTTTCACACCCGACCCCGATTCTGATTTCGATTCCGAAGACGCAGAGTCCGGTTTGACATCCGTCTCATCCTCCTCATCGGCTTCTCAATCACAATCAGAATCGCAATCAAGCACGGAAACGAAGTCGGATGATGAATCGACTGATTCTGACCTCGGAACCGAATCAGATGATTCGGACGGTGACTCCAGTCCACCCATGTCCATGCTAATGAATACATTGAACTCGGGTCCCCTCGCCGACGAAGATGCAGATGCAGATGCAGATGCAGATGCAGATGCAGACGCAGACGAAGACGAAGACGAAGACCCAGACTCAGTTTTGGACTCGGGATCAGATGTCGATGCTGACACGGGAACTAATGTGCACCCTGAATCCACCGCCGTGGTTTTGAGTCTAGGGACTGCAGTAGCGTCTGCGATGCCCTTTGCCATGACGAACACGGGTGGGGCTTCTAGTGTTCTAGCTTGGGATGCTTCGACGCGAGTCTTGTCTTCGGTCGTAGCGGAGACTAGGAGCGCTACTGCTGTGAATAATGCTAATGAGCCGACATCATCGGCTCTTCCATCGCAATCTATTTCCGAGGGGCTTAATGCCAGCGCGACAACTTCTGGCATTGATGGAACTTTCACCGGTGGGGCGATGCGGATTGGGATGGAATCGGGTTTGGAAGGAGGGATGGCAAGGAGCTGGTTGATTTGCGGAGTGTCTTTTGTGGTTTGGGTTGTGTTGTGATGGATGGAGGGGTATTTGAGGACATCGTGCGGCAAGCGAGGTAGAGCAGTAATCCAGAGTGTCCGATAGTCCAGATTGCAGTCCAACAATCAAAAACCTTTGAATATTCAGTTATTTCTAAATGTTGAAAGTATTTTAGACATTGAAATAATTTCAATTATTGAATTAGTTTAGAACAATTAATTCATAAAATGATCATCAACATTCCCGGAATCTCAAAACTAGAATCTTAAAAGGCCTACAGTCCGGATAGAACTACGAAATTGTTGAGAACAAATCACCCAGCTTTTATTACCTACCTACACACTATTAAATTTAAATTTTATAACTCTGTTTGTTTTCTATTAAATCTCTTCTACACCCAGTAATTAATTATTGGCCTTAACATCCCCTCCATACTGCACCCTTCTAATCATCGAACGATTGCATCCCTTGATATCTTGGATACCCGCCAATCCCATACTTTGATCCACATCCGCCAAAATCCCTTGCAAGACCTGTTTGGCTCCCTGTTTTCCACCTATTGCCAATCCATAGATAGCAGGTCTTCCTATTAGAACAGCCTTGGCACCTAGACTGAGGGCTTTAATAACATCCACACCAGTGCGGATGCCACTGTCAAACAAAACTGTCAATTCGTGACCAACAGCATCGACAATCTCAGGTAGCATTTCTAGAGAGCCAACAGCACCGTCGAGTTGACGACCGCCGTGGTTGCTAACAATGATGCCGTCGACACCGGCTTTGACAGCTTCCAATGCGTCATCTGGATGTTGGATGCCTTTTAGAACAATGGGACCATCCCAATTATCTTTCAAGAGTTTGATTTGATCCCAGGTATGAGCAGCACCGGAGAAGACATCACCAACCCATTCTTGGGAAGCCTCAAAAAGCTTCTCCTCTGGAGTGGCGTTGTATTTTTCATTG